CCCCCAGGCCCCCCCTTCTCCGGACCAGCGCGCCCCGATGCCCCCCACCCCGAGCAGCGCACCCCTGTTAAAGGGGGCAGCCGAGGGAGCCTGACCTCGCTCCCCCGCCCCCCCACTCCTGGCACCCGCAGACACACTTGGTCTGAGCAAATATGAAGCTGGCAGGAGTGCTTTCCGTACAGGTAAAAAAACAAACTCCGAATAACCAAAAGTCCCGAAGGCGACAGCACCCGGTACCGCGGGGAGGAATCATCTGTACATATTTGTATAAAAATTATTGACTTTCCTTTTGGGGTTTTTATTTTTTTAAGAAAAACAAATCCGGTAGATTTAGAGCTCTGAACTTTCATTTTTGGGAAGGTTCGCTCTCCGCAGTTTTATCTGAGAAAACAAAAAGTGTATAAAATCGTTGGGAAATTTTAAATATAAAAAAAATTTTCAAAAAGGCGAAAAAAGTGTCATTCTATTACAGAAGTCTGTTTATATATGAATGAATATATGGTATTCTAAATGTTATTCCATCGTGTCGTACATAACTTTGTAAATAAATTTTTAAAACGCTGACCCCAGTGTTTTATTTAGTTGCCTGACCTACACGACAGGATTTTAAAATAGCATTTATATTTTAGCTTTCTCATGAATTCGGGTTGCTTCAAGTAACAACCTTTTCAAACTCCGTTATTTATAATTTGCTTTGCAAGAGAAATTTAAATCTGGGGAAGTATAAATAGAAACATGAAATTTTTTTGTCCCCTTTTTGATATAAAGTCAGGCTAGATGCCTGGATTGTTCATTCCGGCCCGTAAAGTCTAAATGACTAAGGGTTCGGTAGATTAATTCAGTTTTATTTTGAAAACCCACCTTAATTCAGAACAATAGCTCATTCTTCTTCTTCTTTTCAAGATCGGCTTTGTCTTTCCAAATGAGAACTTTAAGGAGTTTTTAATCATTCCAAAATACCCTTTCAAGTGAATGTGAATTTCTCCGTCGTTTCAGAATCTGTCTGATATTTTTAAAAATTATTTTGAATACCTTAAGTTGTCCCATCTGTGTTGGAGTGACAAGTATAGCTGGTAAATAAATTATTCTCAAATTAGCTTACTGCATCTAAAAAGAGTTGTAATTAATTTTGCTGTGGAACTGAAATGATTCTCCAGGTCATCAAATTTCCTATCAAATCTAAATAAGGTCATCTACGAATCCACAAAATGACCGTATTTCTGAAGGCTTCCTATGATTGCCTCCTTCCCCTCACCCTACTTTGAGGTTGTTAAAGCATGGCTCATTACAGAGCTTTAATAACCTTTTAAACACAGATTCAATGAGACCCATTTTTAAAAAGCTCTTGTTCTTTGCACGTTGGGTGTGAGGCTAGAGGGTAAATGGTTGTACTCCAGGGCTGGGGAATATTGTCAAAAATCAGCAAGAGAATTTCCAAAAACGCACATTTCATTGCTTTTGACCTTAAAGAAAAAAAAAAAAAAGCCCGGAGTGTGAAGGTGGAATGAATAAGCCAAATGCTACTCGGATCATATTCCTTTTCTCCGAGCTTTCCAGACAGCTCCGAAAGGTAGAGGTTTCTCAGCCCAATTATTTTGTAACTAGCTATAGTTGCTGATAGAATGGATGAGGAAGCTCGGGAAGGGAGGGGTGGGGATTCCTTTGAAAACAGTAAAGTTCTAAACGTAACATAAGAGTTGCCCCTATCCAGGGTATTGTCTTGTTTACAAAAGGCAGTAAATTCTTCATATTAAGGCCACCGCACCCACTCTCGTAATATGCCAGCTTTCCTGAGTTACTTCTACTCTGTCGTCTCGGACGCTCGTTTCTTGCCTGTCAGAAGTGTCTATAGCATTCGGCTGCTTTAAAAGAAACGTCCTTGCATACACACGGCATTTGTTTTCCTGGGAAACAGTAAATATTATTGAGTCCTAGGTAAACATTTAGACCTCAGGATCCAGCTATACGAAAATAAAACAAGCTGCCTGGCGGAGGGAGTTTGACCTTGATAAATAGGGACCAGATCATCATCAGACAAGAAAAGGGACCACAGTCACCTTAAGCAAGAAGAGATTATGTCTCCTAAGGTCTGCAGGCGGGTCCCTAAATGGAGACCCTTCTAATCTCCTTTTACAGGAAAAACTAAACGGATCTAAATTTTGTGTGTTGCAGCTTATAAAAGTAACAAGTTGTTTCACAGTTGTGTCTAGCTAATCGGTTTTTACACAACAGCAAATGGCACATGATTTGTGCAAACACAGAGGTTATTTCTATATTTAGCTGATACCCCTGGGAAAAGGGAAAGGAAGACCTTCTTGGATTCACTTTCAGGCTCAAGAAGCTGCTGATGCCAGGCTTCTAAATGACATTGGATAACAGGGGCCTCATTCCAGCCCTGATCCTTTGTTACTTATAAAATTACTCACTCATATTTCCGTACATAGCAGCCATACCTTACAGCCCTGCCGCCGCCGCTGCTGCGGCTGGGGCCGCTGCTGGCGTGGTTCAGAGCCCGCCGCCCGCTACCAGCGGCCCCGACTCGCCCGGGCTTTGGTCGTGCTATTTATCAGACAGCCGGGTGTGGAGGCGGTGAGATCCACCCGCAACTTTCTTTCCAACGCTCTCTCCCCCTAGAAATCGAGGCCTCCAACCTGGAGGTTTGCTTTTCCTTCGCTGGGGGTCGGAGTCTCCCGAAAACCGACCATCACTCCACCACGGTGTTTAAAGTTTTGGGGGGTGTTGTATCAGGGAAAGTGGCGTGCTTGTAGCGTCGATACAGAGCTCTTCTTCCGGATTATGCATCTTTGTCTGTGTTGGGGGGCATGGGATGTGTGGAGAGTAAAAATATAATAGTGAGAGTGAGCACAAATCTGATTCTCCTGAATGCAGGCACAAGCAAGTAGAGGCATTGAAACCAACTGGCGAAACGAGGTTTCTAATGCAACGAGACCAGTTTTTGCTTTTAATAAGAGGAGAAAGTGGATAAGGTCTTAAAGGAAGGATTTTAGTTTTCTCCTACCCAGACTCTTAGAATTCAGACTTCTTTTTTTCTTTCTTTTTTCTTTTTCTTTCTTTTTTTTTCTTTTTTACATTTTCACCTTTTTCTGTTTTTATCAAAAAAAAAAAAAAGTCATTCCCTATTCCCGGACCTGCTGTCGCTGCTGCACTGAATCAGGAGAGAAACCCAGATCGGTGGTTCTTCTCCATTTAATTAGAACAGACGGAGATGGAGGCTGGTAGGGGCCATTAAGTGAAATAAGAACGAGTTGGGAGGCAAAGCAAACCGAGGAGCAGATTGGGTCCCACTTGGGGGCTCAGAGGAGGCTATAATCGTAATGACGGATAAGGACCTGCAGGGGGCGATAGGTATATAGTTCTTTACCGGGTTTGTCATCAGGATATCCAGGTTTAGACCCTTAGCCTCCTCTCCTTCCCTAGTCTGCTCTCCTCCGGGAGGGGGTGGGGTGCGTTCCCTACTCCCTCAACATCTCCACCTGAGCCCACCTAGGAGCAGACTCTATGAGTGAGTGTCCTTTTTCCAGGCCTCTCCCTTGGGAGGGAGCAGTGCTCCCAAGAGAGTAGTGCCTAGAGATTGGGAGGCAATAAAGTTGAGTGATGAGAAAACATTGACTCTGAGGCAATTAGTGGTTATATTTGAGGTCATTTATTTTACATAGTTTAGAGGAAGAGCTTTCGTGTAATTGGGGAAAACACGAAAAGCCTGGTGTGCATTTTTCTGCTAGGTCTGCCTCTGGGAACTGTAAGGCAACTGTATCATCTCTGCAGTCTGTAGTCTGCATAAGCCTGTCGATACAAACGTACACTGTGATATACACAGTATGAATCCAAATATACACGGATAAATGCTACAAATAATTTACTCTGTGTACATAAGAGGGAATGAAGTCATTCCTCTGATCCACAACCCCATGGTGCTTAGTGGACATTCTTGAACCCATGGGCATACATACTGTACTCTACTGAGAAGACCCGTCCAGACGGTTCTGAAATCTAGGCTGAAGAGCAATTCAGAACAAAGCAAATTCAATTGTTAAAAATCCGCTTAATTAAAAGGGAGAGATATGTTTTAAGAGGAACAGTCAGTACCTGCCTAAGGCGACCCTAATCCGCATTATCCTCAAGTATTGAGCACAATTCAGGGATTCCGTGTGAGAAGAAACATCTGAAATAGGAATAAACTCTACTCTCTCTTTCTTACTCCATCCCCCCAGCTCACAGAGAGTCAGGAGAAGATTCTCTCCCACCTGCTTCTCTGTACCCTACCCAGCCATTCCAAGAGATCTGAACAGATTTCTTCTGAGGGTGGCTTAACCAGGCTAGAAAAGACTGATTTGCTGTTTTTTCCCCTTTGCTTCTACGCACCATCCAACGCATGTGGGAGAATCTGACACCCTTGTTGACAGATGCCTATTAGTGTAAGACATTGCATGCTGGCCTCTGGGGTGTATTAAAGGTAACCAGATCTGCAACATTGGTAAAATGACCATATCTCAACTGCTCCTCAAACAGTTGGCACATTTATACTGGAGTCAACTTTCCTTCCTCCCTCCTCCCTCATTTGGTGTTTCTCCGCTTTGGATGTTTGGTGATGTTGCTCAAGGTTTCTTCATTCCTTTCTGCTAAAATGGGGATATGGAGGTGGGAGGGACAGAATTACAAATACCACTTGGACATCTTTTTTTATTTTTTTAATACCCCAAGCATTTGTCAGGAAGAAAAATCATCTTTTGTTGTCTTTTGATTTCCTGCTAGATTTGCCTTGATAAACATTTTTGCAAAAAAGAAAGAAATGAGTATGGAAGACCCTCCCATATTAATATAAAGTAAATGCTAAAACAAACCTTCTTTTCCACAAGTCATTGTTCACCTAAGCCTACTTTTTAATTCAGTAAGGAAATGTGACATTGTCTCTGCTTTCTACACAACTCATCAAATAAATGTAAAAACTACCTCGTGGCATCCTCAACAGCAGGAGGAAAAACTAAAGTCAAAGTATTCTCAATATCTTTAAGGTGCAAAGGGGGATTTTACACTCGCGCGCGGGCACACACACACACACACACACACACACACACACACACACACCCCTCTGGTTTTACTAGGAAAAAAAAGAAAGTTTGCTTTGGATGGAGTAAAGATGAGGAAGCAAAGAAAGGGAAAAGAGAGAGGACAGATAAATAGGGAGGAAAAAGAAAGAATCCCTGACTAAAGCCCCAGGGCATTTGGAATTGCTCCAGGGCAATCTTTGGAAAGATTGTCTGGGCTTGTGCATTAAGACTTGGTGTAGGAAGAAAGTTGTTTGTTTTCTCTCCTAACCCTCGGGCTCTAAGACTTTTATATTTTCATTCCTAATAAAAGTAGCGCCCTCCTTCTTACTCCAGATAGAGAGATTGGGTTGATCACCATTGAATTGTCACATAAGGAGTCCTTTGGGGAAAAGGGAGGAAGGGCAAACTCTCCAGTTTCACTATACACATCGAATTTGTGTGTAATGGTAACAAACGTTGGGAGGGGGTCCCCTAATGAGAATCCTTCCCCCTCCCCCTTCTCTCTTAACTTTTTAATTTTGAGACGTCTGCCTCAGATCAGATCCTTTCCCAACCCAGACCTCCCTGGCTCCTGTCACCATCTTTAGCCTTAAGTAGAAGAGAGTTCTGAAGGTCAGATAGAGGGAGAGAGAACTGGGATGGGAAATGTTACCGATAGAGGACAAGAAGTTGAACCTAACTTCCAGGAGACAAGAAGCAGATGGAGAGTGATATAGGCGAAGCGGACCCCCAAGTCCAGGTTACTACCAACAGCGAAGACACCCTCTAATGCTTCTCTTTTTCTATCTCAAGAAGGAAGATCAAGACCGGGAGTAAATCGCTTGTGAATAAAATATAGGCTGCCTAAACGCATTTATCCTTTTAACTGCAAGCATACAATTAGTAAGTTTGTTACGCTCATTAGAGTTAGACAACAGTAGGGAAAGTGTTGCACTCAAGAGAGCTCCCTCCCTCCCTCTCTCCCTTCATACAGACTTGTCTTCTGAATTTCCATCCCCAACTTAGACCCTGGGCCCAGGCTGCTTGGAGGAAAGGTCGGGCGAGTGTCTGAAGCGCAGGGAAGGACTCACCACCTGCTATTCATTCCCGGACACCGCCGCTCCCATTTTAAGATCATGAATTTTTAAGATCGTGTATTTCTTATCAGCTTTTTCCTGTGACTTCTGGCAATGAGGAACCACAGCACCCATTAGACTTAAGAACAGGATTCCCCCCCCCCACTTCGTTTTCTCCAAAAGACAAATGGAAATGAAGAACAATTTTGTTCACAAGACAAATTGACATTTCACACGAAGTCCTCTCCCCCAGCACAAATTTATTGCAGATGTTTTCTTAGAACGAGTTTTTGGCTTCTGGAACCGGAGCCCAGGTCATCCAGAAATCCCTAGTCCTCAAACTTTATTCTGGCCCCTCTCTCGTCCTAAAATCCTGGAGGAAAGGAGCATCACAGCGATTGAAATGGGAGTAGGATAGCTTTACCCACGAAGCCCGTAACTATAGCACTTTTCTTTTTCTTTTTCTTCCTTCCTTCATTTCTCTCTTTCTTCATTCCTTTCCTTCTTTCTTTTTCTTTCATTTTCTCTGTCTTTTCTTTCCTTTATCTTCCTTCTTTCTCTTTCTTGCTTCCTTCCCTGACTTTTCTTTTCCTTCTTTTCCTTAATCTCTTCTTTCCTTCCTCTTTCTCTTTCACTTTTTTCTAATTTTCTTCTCCTCTTACCTTCTTTCTCTTTCTCTCTTGCTTTCTCTCACCTTCCCTTTCTTCTTGTCTTTTATTCCTTTCCTTCCTTTTCCTTACTTTGTTTTCTTTATCTTATCTTTCTTTCCTTTCTTTTTTGTCTTTTTCCTTCCTTTGTTTCTTCCTTCCCTCCTTTATTTCTCTTTCTCCCTCCCTCCCTCCTCCCTCCCTCCCTCCCTCCCTTCCTTCCTTCCTTCCTTTCTTCCTTCCTTCCTTTCTTCTTTCTTTCTTTCTTTCTTTCTTTCTTTCTTTCTTTCTTTCTTTC